TGTTCCCAGCTTTCAAGTCTTAGTATTCATTTAGCAAACAGTTCTTTGACCCCAAGATTGTGAGAAGAGTTGGCATGTGCCTCCCACAACCCACCGGGCAGGTAGGGATGTGGGTAGAGCTGAGCTGTCCGTTTATGAAGAGTCGCGGTAGTTTCTTCCTCTCTCTCTGTCTGTGATCTGGTTAACCCAGGAGGATGTCACACTTTCAGTGTTGTCTATATGACTCTGGAGCCAGGCTGCCTTCTGGGATCCCTGGCCTCACACTTGGAACCTGTACGCCCTTAGGAAAAAACATTAACCGCAGTGTGCTCACCCATAAAATGTGGAAAATAATACCAGCTTTACAGGGTGTGATGCAATAACATGATAAGGATTATCATGGTGGTCTTTAGTGCTGCTCACCAAATATTTCTGGATCTTGCCCTTCCAGGCACATGGCAGGATCAACTTCCCACCCCATGTGGCTGGATGGGATCATGGGATGAGCCCTGGTCAATGAGGTGTGAGAGAAGTGACACACGACAGTTCGGAACTGAGACACTTAATTGCCAGTGGAGACACTCTAGAGTTGTTCCTCTCTCTGGGATGAAGACTGGCAATATTCAACATAGTGGAGGCAGCCACAGCCTGGGTCCCTAAGTGACAAAAATAAGCAACTCTGGTAATGTACAATAGACACTCTAGAGTTGTTCCTCTCTCTGGGATGAAGACTGGCAATATTCAACATAGTGGAGGCACCCACAGCCTGGGTCCCTAAGTGACAAAAATAAGCAACTCTGGTAACCTACAATAGAATGTGTTGTAAGATCACAGTGAAAACTTTGTGGTGGTTTTAAGCCATTGAGATTTGGGGGATTTCTTGTTACTGCAGCACATCCTAGCCTATTCTGACTGATACAGCTTCCTTCCTCCCTTCCTCCCTTCCTTCCTTTCTGTCTTCCCATTTATCTATCAATCCATTATTTAACCACATTTATACTTTTCTTCCTATTTACCCACTTATTTATTGTCATCCTCACCCTCATTCTCATTTATTGGTCACTCAATGTGCACTAGGCATGATGCCGGGCATTTACATACAGTATCTCCTGATCTTCACAACAGCCTGAAGAGAGAGGCTGTAATCGCTACCATTTTACAGATGAGGAAGCTGAGGCCAGGAGGAAGCACGTGCCCATCTTCCCTGCTCAGCATCCTTCACCTTGCTGCTCCACCATCCCATATAAATGTCTCTAATCCCATGACAGAACTAGAAATGATTGTTTGCATCTGCTCAGGATATTGGCTCGTGGGCTTGCTATCCCTCAATAACTTATTATAATGCAAAGAAACAGTCAGCCACCAAGCCTGGCTGATTTTAACTTTCAACCCACATGGTGCCTCAAGGACAAGATCTCATATTCTTTCCATGAGTCTCTGAAGCATTTCATTCCTTTAATGTTACCTGAGTGGGTAACTCCACAATGCAAACCCTTCACCTTCCCACAAGTACTTTTAGCTTTTGGAACTGCGTTGCATCCATTGTAGGCAGGATTGTCTGTTTATTTCTTTTATTTGTTCTGTCCTTGTCTCGAAGCAGCATCTGGGACACTGGTGCTTCTGCCACCACCTCTGCCACGTTGCCCATTCGTGTATTTTCCCACTTCAGAAACTAACATTTCTATTTTGAAACACTGAGCCTGGAGATACAGGCTTACAGAAGGTCTCCTGTGGAAATTGGCTTGGAAAATGTGGACAACACATTTCAACTGTTTGAGATACGTGTAGCAGAGGTTGTTAGGTGTCCTTCACAACTGTTCTCCCTTCTCTCTCAGCACTCGAATCCCCAATTTTTAGTTGACCACATTGGGCCTCCCAAAGTAAAGAAAATATTCCACTAAATGGTGCACCACACTGGACCATGTGGACAAGTGTAACACTCTAAGGATGCAGAGCAATGGTCTGGAAGGAGCCTGCACCCTGCCTTCACGGAGCGCCAAACCAGCCCTGGACTGCGTGCACCAATTGCTGTCGACATAAAATAAACGTATTAAATTTTTTTACTTAAAAACTAAGTTGAATTTTTCATATAGTAAAATATGTAGACCTTGAATGTACAGACCAATGAGCTTTGACCCTTGTATACATCAAGGGTCAAATAGCCACCAGTCTAATCGAGAGAGAGA